AACACTGATCTCTGAAAATAATCTCAAAGAGATACCCTATGATTCTAGATATACCCAGTTCATCAGTGCTTTTCTAAGATATCAGCTGACATAAGTTAAGCAACTTACTTTCTCCTTTTCTTATCCATTCCATTACTTGTTCTGGGGCAACCACCACCTCTTCGATGAGATCTTCCACATATGTATTCCTCTTAAGACAAAACACAGTAATAAATTCTACTGAATTCTAAAACTCACTTCAGTATATTAAGATTACCAGCAATTATTATGGTGTTCATTTCAGTTTGCTTCCTTTTAAGGAAGCATTATTAATTGAATGTCTTTACTCTGGTCACAAGGGATAGGGCAAGTTTACACCTTTATCAAAACTACTGTCCCTCTAGGGACAAGAATCAAAGTTCTAGAAAGTCTCCCAAACATAAAACTCCTAAGAGAAATACCCTTCTAGTCATTTTCTGAGGGAACCCAGAAGTATGTTTCCTCAGTAAATGTTATAAGGCCATAATCATACAACTGAAAAATCTCCCTTCTTCCAAGTTCCAAAAGCGTTGATCATTCAGGACGTTGGAAGACCTAAAAATCCCCAAAGCCAAAACACTCCCTGCCTCCCCAAACTACCAGATTTTATAATTTGCTACAGGAAGAAGTTCTTTACTGTGAGGGTGGTGAGACATTGGCACAAGTTGCCCAAAGAACTCGTAAGCGCTTTATCCCTGGCAGTGTTCAAGGCCAGGTTAGAGCCTTGGATGACAGGGTCTAGTGTGAGGCATTGCTGCCCAGGTCAGGCGGGTTGGAACTAGATGACCTTAAGGTCCTTTCCAACCTAAACCATTCTTTGATTTTATAATATACTATCCTGGAAAACTTAAAGGATTAAGTCTACTTTTACAAACAGTTATAGAGAAACCAAGAACTGCAAGCCCAAATTCACTAAATCAAATGTCCTGCTAATTCTGAAGATAACAATTACACAATCTGACACAGACAAGTTTTCAACTACACACCTCTGAAGGTTTTTTAAAAATACTTTTACTCCCAGCAGATATCATACTCATACTACATTATATGCACTTACACTAACATCCTCACGAATTCCCAGAGGCTTCTTTTTCCTTTTATCACAAAGCAAATCTGTAATGGTTTCATTGTAGATTTCCATGTAAGAAACCCTTAGCAAGAATTCTCTATCTGGAATCTGATGTTAAAAGAAAAAATAAAGAATTAAAAAAAAAAAAAAGGTTAAATAACAAACACCTTTTAATGCAAGTATTCTTACCTTGAAGGTATATGTTTGGATATCATTCCACATGCACATTAGCATCTACCAATACAAAATCTGCTTTATTCCATTCCACCTCTTTCCAGCTGGATAAATGGTATATCACATTTTGTAGATTATAAAAGGTAACTGCTCTACCAGAAGGGTTACAGTTGCCCTGCTTAAATGCCCTTTCCTTATCTAATTTCCTTCTGCTTAGGCTCTTTCCTTTATGTATACCTAGTCTTTTGTCTTGGGTGCAACTGTAACAGTTACTTTTCTTCTTCTTCCTAGTAGCTGGTGCAATGCTGTGTTTCATCTTTAGTCTGAAAACAATGCTGATAGCAACAGCTAAAACACTGGTGTGTTAAGTAATGCTTACCCCAAACAAGGACTTTTCAGACTTTCATGCTATGCCAGTGAGGAGGGGCACAAGAAGACAGGAGGGAGCAGAGACAGGACACCTGATCCAAACAAACCAAAGGCGTATTCCATACCACAGCACATCATGACCAGTTTATAAACTGGGGGGAGTCACCCGGAAGGGCAGATTGCTGCTCTTGTCAGGCTGGTTATCGGTCAGTAGATGGTGAGCAATTGCATTGTGCATCACTTGTGTTTATTGTTGGATATTTTCCCTCCCTTTTTAGGTTTATATTCTCTCCTCTTGTTATTTCCCTTATAATTATTATTGTTAGTGGTAGTAGTGGTTTTGTATTATACTTTAGTTACTGGACTGTTCTTATCTCAACCCATAGGATTTACATTCCTTCAATTCTCCTCCCTATCTCTCCAGGAGAGTGCAGGAAGGTGGGGAGTAAGCAGGCAGTTGTGTGGTTGTGAGCTACAAGTTGGGCTTAAACCATGACATGTTCTCTTTTTGCTTGCTCATATTTCCTTTGCTGCTGCTTCTTCCTCTGCCTCCCTGCTAGAGCGTACTGGGGCTGCACAACAGGCTTCAGGATTACACCATCATGGAAAGTTTTCTTGCCTTTAGTTAGTTTTATAGACAACCCCCCAGCCCCACAAAGTACTCTGGACCTCCTTAAAGGAGCAATGACTGTTTCACTCAACTGATAACAAGTGTTCTGCAGGTGATGTTTTGGAAATCACTTTATACCTCCTACTTACTTCCTATTAGCATTGAGCAACTAGTCTACCATTCTTTTGAAAACCTGATATAAGTAAATTTAGTGCCATATTCTTCCCACTGGAAGTCTTTAATACTGTTAATTTTTGTAAGTTTTAAAATAGTAGAGTCACATTACCTTGTCTACCATATTAACAGGTGAGCATCTATTTAGACTTACAGTATAGTTTATTGTACTTACAAGTTTTAACAACCCAGCTCAGTTTTGTTCTGATTTGATTCCAACTAAGAGAGTCCCATTAGCCTTTTTTTAACTACTTATCTTTGCCAGGCTAGTAAAGCAACTGCAACATATAGGCCAATGTAAATCCATATCCTTCACAAGCTCCTTGCTACTAAAATTAACTTTCACATAACCATTACAAATATTACTAGTCCTTTCAGCCACTTCAATGTAATGGAATTACTCACCTCACAGATAACTTTGAAAACATGTCGAATTGCCTTAGGGATAATGCCCACAGAATCTTCATTTCCCATCATTGTGTATGTCTTCCCTGAAGCTGTCTGTCCATAAGCAAAAATTGTGCCTAGAACAGATGATTAAATTTAACTAATTAATCATGAAAGATATTAAAACCAGGAATTGAACACAGTTTTAAAACTTACCATTATACCCTTGCACAGCTGACTGTATAATTGGAACAGCTACACCTTCATATAACTTCTCAGTGCTGTCACTTGAGTGAAACACACGATCTTAAAAAAACAAACAAACAAACAAACAAACAAAAAAAACAACAAAAAAAATCAAGCATATGAATACATTGTACTGCAAGTCAAAACCAAGCTGCCATCTTACATAGTATTGCTTACTTCAGATTCAATAAATAAGCATCAGACTGTTTATAGGAAGACTCAAACATTAAGTGTAACGCTTCTAACGCAGACTTTTTTTTTATTAAAAAATATTAAACTTGAAACCAAAAAAGACATGATGAACAGACAAGTAAAAAAAAACCCTTAAAAATGATGGACACAGTCAAATAGCCATCCAATTTAATCCTAAAAAAAAAGTTATGGCTAGTTTATCTATGAGAATCGTAAGCCTGACAAGACAGGCTAATTGTTAAACTCCGAGCCCAGAGCATGGTTTTAATAAAACTGTATTTTGGCAAAAATCCTTGCAGTGGCTACATTAATAGAATGGTTTGGGGTGGAAAGGACCTTAAGGTCATGTAGTTCCAATCCCCCTGACATGGGCAGTGATGCCTCACTACCCTGAACTTTCCCTGTTGAAGTTTAAACCCATTACCCCTTGTCCTATCACTACAGTCCCTGATGAAGGGTAGAGTGGATCAGTAGGAAGAGACTCAAAGTGAGGTAGTTATGACAATCTAGCATCCACACTATACACTTTTACATGCTGGGGTCCCAAAGGTCTTTCTCCCTAAATGCTCTGGACTAGCCCTAGTCTAGTCCATTTGTAACTGGGATTCATATGAAAAGAATACAGCTCATGTGTTCCAAAGCCACTCTACAGCAAGAGCCAGGATGGAGAAGGTCACATCCATCAGGAAGCTGCCTTTAAAAGCATGCTCCTGGTACTGACAAAACCAGAAATCTTACTTGCCCAGATGGCACTTCTTTAAAATTGTGAAGTAAAAAGAAAAAAAAAGTTGATGGATATTGCAAAAAGCCAGCATCATTAAACTTGGTTAATACATTCAAGCAGCACAGTAACAAGTCCATGTAAACACCAAAGTAACTGCTCTCATATTCTTACCATAACTGAACACTTTTGTCCCATTCACTTCTGAAATAGTATTATTTTCACTTTTCCAGTGGAGTGACACTTTGTCTCCTAAGGCATTTTCCCTAAAACAAAGAAATAACCCGTTACCTGAGGGCTCTGCTCCTCAGGGATCTCCGCCTACTCAAAGCTCCGACAGCCCTGTTTGCTCGGGCTTTCCCCTTCCTTCGCGGGGACGGAGAGCACACTTAGCCCGCACCTCCCCTCTTCGAAAGGCTGCAGCGGCACTCCCGCGACACTTGCTGAAGGCGAGGGAGGGGGAGCCCGCTTGCAGCACTACAGCCTCCCTTCAGGCCGGGGATCAGGTGCGACCCTACCGCCCGGACAAAGCCTCACCTGGCGATAAGCGGCCGCACACGCACACAGACCGTCACAGCTCCCTCGTCCGCCATCGCCGGGACCGCAGGGAAGCAATCACTCCTTCCCCGACCGCCAGCACTCAGCGAAGTAACGACACCACTCAACCGCCGCACAGAGTTTAGACTTCTAGCGCAGCCGCTTCCTATTGGTCCCCGCAAGACAGACGCGACCGCGGAGCGTACCACTGCCAACAGCTTCCGAGGGAGGGCGTGGGGAAACGGTTCCCTCCCCCCCCCCGGGCGGCCTGAGGTGGTGCCGGCCAGGGCGGCAGTGGTTTGTGTGGCGGTCCGTCATGTCGGCCGGTTGGTTAATGCGGTGTTTACTGAACTTAAATAATACGCGTTCACACGTATAAGTGACACTGTTGGGAAATTAAGTTTATTTCTTTTTTTTTTGTTGTTCAAGTAAGATCAAGGGGAAGGTGGCTGCAAGGGAGAACCTCCAGAATACAGAACATGCTGCAACTGCATGTCTTAGCATCAACTAATTAATGACTAATTTATGAAATTACTATTCGTGTTTAAACTGTTAAAAAACCGTATGCTTCCCTCACGTATCTTAATCATCCTCATCCTCCTCTTCATCGTCCTCAACTTCTTCCTCCTCCTCTTCCTCAGCTGCAGATAAGGCTGCTTCCTGTGCAGCCTTGAAAGCCAGTTCCTCTTCCAGGGTGGGGTCACTTGTCTCCGTGATTTCTGGCCCACTGACGTATTCTGCTTGCACTGGTGGTGGTAGGGTGGGATTGTAGTTCTCTGGGCTGTATTTGTGACCCCAGCCAAAGTAGATGTTATCGAATTTCCTGAGAAAGAAAAGTTAAAGGTCACCCATTCTACCCCTGACAGAACATCAGTGGAGGTATTGTCACGCTTCCATGCTCTGCAAAAAGTCACCCTGGTGCAGCTATTCTGTAACAGGAGTGTTTAAAAGACAGCACCGCTTTTTAACTGCTGTGACTGTTGATTAATACATCTTTCACTTAAAAATCTCTAAATGCTAAAATGATGAAGGCTGTAGATCACATTGCTGTACTGCACAACTCCACATTGGTAACATAGCAGTGTTCCTGACACCAATTCCAGCACCCATTTAAAAGCATGTGGAGGTCATGACTGCACCACAAGTAAACATTACAACCACAGAATGTAGCTGTTTTTATAAAAAGTACCAGAGACTCAAGTATAATGTTTTGAATCGAGGGCTGTGCCCAAATAGTAGCTGGACACTTACATCCATTAACTTAATCCTAGCCTTTTCAACAATTATTCAGTTCAGTCTTAAATACATATTCACTGTTGCTGTGAATATTTAAGTTGCCTTCCCCACCAGTCTCTGGAATACTTAGAATTCAGTCAATGAATTAATAATAAAGTAGCTTTGGCTTCATTAGACAGGTGTCTATGTTTAGCATATACAGTCTGTGTTGTGACCATGTCAAGTAGCTACTTACTTGCCAGATGCAAAGGCATATGCTCCAGGCCATCGGTTAGACTGGAGGACTGCAACTGCATATTCTGGGATCAGGTTTGTAGAAGTCTGGCTTGTCCAAGCGGGGATGTTTTGAATTCCTGAAGGCAGCCAAACACACACAGTCTATGAATAAATTGATGCCTCTACAAAATATTTAAGACTGAACTACGAGTCTTCGACAGAATTCAAGCAATGGTTTTATTAAGTTGCATGTTAGAAGAGCTGGAAGTCTGAAACAATAAATGTAGGCACTGCATAGAAACAGGCTGTTTGTATGGGTAGGTAGCACAGGAATGGTAATAGACCAACGTATAGAAAAGATCATACTTCTGAAATTCAGTAGCAGTCTTTTGTCAACGACTTTTTCATAATTTACGGATAAATTATACCTTGATCAACAAATGAAGAGTAAGAAAATAATTTACTGTTGGTGTATTCTAATACTCAGCTTTCCATATTTCCAGGATTTGCTGCAGTAATATGCTACAGGATCTAAATTCTTATTTGTGTATCTACACACGTGTACATATATATTTATTTATTTACACATGCAGACACACTTTTTCACCTAAAAAGACGATGGAAAAAGGGCTGAATGTACTCAATGTAGTGGGCTGTCTTGAACTTGCAGTAGGTTGGCAAGTCTGGAGTACTTGTTCCCTTTATTCACAACTGGATTCTTAACTAGTAAACCCAATTATTTCAGTTTTAATGTCAATACTGATAGCCATTTTGCTTTTAATAAATTTTGTAAAAGAATGTGCCGACCCTCCAGGGGCAAACTGTATTTCTCCATGAAGCGTCAGTCCTGTAACTTCAAATATTTACTACCTAAATGAGGACATTCCTAATGGCTCTCCATCACAAACTTCATATTCCATGAAGAATACCTTCATCTTCAGAGAGTGGAGTGAGAAGAGGTGGTCCTATTTCTTGCTGTATGTCATCTGGCTCATCTGCTTTCTCCTCCTCTTCTTCTTCTTCCTCTGATTTTTGAAAAGGATTAAGCCAAACACAGCGACCCTATAATTGATATGGAAAAAGTGTAGAGTCCTGCATCTGTGCAGGAACAACCCCAGGTTCCAGTATAGATTGGGGAACGACCTGTTAGAGAGCAGTGTAGGGGAGAGGGACCTGGGGGTCCTGGTGGACGACAGGGTGACCATGAGCCGACACTGTGCCCTTGTGGCCAAGAAGGCCAATGGCATCCTGGGCTGTACTAGAAGGGGGGTGGTTAGTAGGTCGAGAGAGGTCCTCCTTCCCCTCTACTCTGCCCTGGTGAGACCTCATCTGGAATATTGTGTCCAGTTCTGGGCCCCTCAGTTTAAGAAGGACAGGGACCTGCTGGAGAGAGTCCAGCACAGGGCAACTAAGATGATTAAGGGAGTGGAGCATCTCCCTTATGAGGAAAGACTGAGGGAGCTGGGTCTCTATAGTTTGGAGAAGAGGAGATTGAGGGGTGACCTTATTAGTGTATATAAATATATAAAGGGGGAGTGTCACGAGGATGGAGCCAGGCTCTTCTCAGTGGCAAACAATGATACCAGCACTAGCCTGGTATCAACAAGCTTTTAAGCTTTTTCATTTGCATGTTTTACAGCAGAAAGTAAGCAATGAAAAATAAGCCAAAAGAAAACATCAAAAAAGTTCTATTTATCATACAGTCATAAACTACCTGCGTTTTAGCATCCTACCCAAGAAAAGAGAATTTAAAACATTTTTGTCAAGTAAAGACTTCAGAAGAGAAAACCTAATATAGATCACCAGAAATTACTGTTATCTATCAAGGCTTAATTCCATACTGTTATCTAAAGGTAGGTTTTGATCCCAAGAACATACCTAGAAGGTTCCTACGTATATATGCCTAAAATATATGCTAAATGTAAATAGGTGCAACATGTTATATACTACATCCAAGGTATATTCTTTAAAAAAATATTTTAGGCCAATACCATTTCTGGTGAATAGTTCAAACGTGCAGGTGAGGAGTGTGTTTACATTCTGAAACCCTATGAGCACCACAGTGTGAATGAGCTATTCCTGAACGTACCTGCATTAGAATACTCTGTACATGGTGTACCCAGCTGGAGAGAGAATCCACCATTTCAGGCACAGGGATAGGCTGGTAATCAGGGTTTTCTTCATATGTATCTCTTCCTCCTTCCTCCTCTTCGTCTCCTTCCTCCTCCGAAAAGTGGTAAAATCCAATTGGAGAGATCTGGGTTCCTGCTGAGATCCGAGCTATCTGTGCTCGCAGGTAATTGGCCTCGTTTCCAGGGAAAGGAGGACTCACAATGGGAGCATCCAGCCTACCGGTGAAGAACTTCTTGATTTTCCTGGCACAGACAATCTTGGGCTGGTGTCACTGGAGGCAACCGCCAAGAAATTATAGCTAAATTACAAAAAAAGTAAGAACATGTTACCTAGTCAGTTTCCACTTTCTTCCTTCTGGCAATCATCCAAGATCAGGCTGACTGCAAGTGGACTTTGGTGGTTCATCTTTTTCCTCCTCTTCATCTTCGAACTCAGTCATACCTTTCCCTTCTTCCTCAATAGCTTCTTCCTCTTCTGTTTCCTCCTCTTCTGCCCCCTCACCGTACTGTACTTCAGCTATAATATAGTTCATCTCCAGACCCAAAATTTTGCCCCAGAAGCGACAGATCTGGGGCACTGGCTGAACACTAATTAGTTTTTTAAGGGCAAGGAATATGTGATAGGATTCATCTTTGCTCAAGCCTATTCCAGCCTGTTCAAAATAAAAGGCTGTTTCCATTACGTTAGGTAGACTGGTCTCTCCCTGGGAAAGAAGATATGGAGTTAGAGCTGAAGAATAGTATAATTATCTATTTGAAAAATCAACAGTTTGTCCACTGAAAGTTACACTTTCCTGTAGTGCCACTTACTCTCTCAAGGTGCTTCACAGACATTCATTCACTGCATTTTCCACTATAATAAAAAAAAAAACCAAACCTGAAATGCCGTTTTAAAGGTAAAAAAGAGAACACAGATGAGCTTCAGCTTTTAGAATACAAGATTTAAAATTTCAAATTGCTGCAAAATAAGAATTCTTATGCAGGATCTGCAAGGGACTTCAGTGCTGCGGCATGTCAGCTATGTAAGAGGCCTTGATGCCTGCAAGCATCGTTACTGTTTTTCCTTGTGTTTGTCGCAGATTCATTTGGGGAAAATAGAATACATATTTTCTATATTTAGACACCAGACGAGCAATATTTCTCTGGAGTGAATGTTGTTCTTTTGAAAACCTTGACATACGGTTTTCATTGTTTAAAATATTGGCCTCTGCTCGCTCCTACTAAGGCCCATTATAAGACTCCAGCTGTCTCCAGTAGAAGCAAAACTAGGCCAAGAATGATTTCATTATTTCCATTCAGTTTCTCACTCTTATTTCATGTGGGTAGGTGATTGTATCACACAAAGGTAGTAGAAGTTTTTCACTAGAACAACTGGAAAAAGTAGAAGTCTTCAAATTTGGAAGAAGTAAAGTTAGCTTTTTTAAACTTTACTTTCTGTTCATCCTCTCTAGAACCTCTGGTTTTAAAGGTTCAGGGTATTAGACTTACTACAGGAAAAAGACTCAATTAAGTAACCAGATGGGTTTTCTTCTTCACACTTAGACATGGGGACCAACTCGGCTGTGAATAGGGTACATGGTACTGTGGCTGCAATTATGTATATGATTGTGAGAGGCAATACTACAAAGGAGACCACAACTTCCCTTCCTCCTTTCCCTTCCCACCATCCTCCCATCCATTCCCTGGTATATATGGTATGTATTTTTCTCTGATAACAACTCACTATCTCCTCTTCTTCTATTTCTTCTTCTTCTCCATTTGCCTTGAGGAACAAAGCTCTACGCTTTTCTGCAGCTTCAAATGTTGGAAGACTCTCATGTTCATCTCGAAGAGTGTCCATTTTTTTCCGAAACTGAGTCCACTTCACATCCCTGCTGATATTCTCAATTATGTCTACTGCATTTGTGGGCTGTTCATCCAGGATCTTTGTTAGCATATTAGCAAGATGATCATATCTGTCATATAAATGTAAATATTATCAGCCTACTATACAAAAGTCTTAGAATATTTTAAGATTGAAAGTAGAAGCTAATCACCTGGAGCTTTGGGGAAATTGTTGGAATAGTCAGATGAAAGGGGAACATGGAGCATTATGGGAAATTAGACTAGAAAATGGCCTGACTATAATACAGTAGGAGTAGTCCCATCTTCCATTTTTGGTATATACTGTACCTGCCTCTGGAGCTGAAGCTGAATTTAAATTTGCTGTTAATCAAAACCTTTGAACTCTACAAATTTACTTAAGAATTTTGATTCTGAAAGATGTTGAATACACAGAAGTGTCACATAGTAGGAATTACTGCATTTATAGTCCATTCTATATATACCCCTTGCTATCCCTCCCCTTCTTAACATATAACCTTTGCCCTTTTACCAACGCTACTTTTCTCTCCACTCATACTTTCTACCCCTTTCAGTTGAGTCTGTCTTTCAGACTTACAAGTTCAGGCCAGAGGTTGTGCTGCTCTTCAGTAAAAAGGCTTTTGCGTTCTGAGTTGCCAGCATTTGCTGTGTGGGATCGGGTATCTGATCATCATACGGACTGTATCCTGGCTGATAAAGACCGTAACCTGGTTCATGCGGCTGCGGGACAGGCTGCGGTGAGGGCTCCTCCGGAGGCTCGGCCATGGCCTGGCCCAGCAGGGTACGCGCCGAGCCCGGGGGACGCAACAGCCTCTCGGCCGCGGTCAGCTGTACTTGTCGCGCAGCAACGGGTGCTGCCCGCGGGGCGGGGGGGGCGGGGCGGGGCGGAGCGGAGCGGGGCGGGGCGGAGCGGAGCGGGGCGGAGCGTCGCTAAGGTAAACGGCCGCGCCCGTTTAGGTTGTTGCTCAGGAGTTTCCCGTCGGAGCTGGCAGTTTCGTTCCCGTTTCTCCGTGCGTTCGGAGCGCCTCCTGTCGTCCGCTGTTAGCCGGTAGGCCCGGTAGTGGTCACTTTTTGTCGCCGCACGCTGAGGCACAGCAGTTGTTGGGGGAACGAGCGTATTTCTGAAGGGGGGTCACCGACCCATCTTTCCCTAGCGCCGGGCGGGAGGCCAGAGGCTCCCCGCAGGGCCTGTCGCTGTGGGGACCTGCCCTCTGGGCCTGGGGGCTCTCCTGCGGGCTCGCTTTTCCCAGCCCACAGCCCTAGCCGTTAAAGCTGTTTGTAGAGGAGTTTTCAAGCCCTGCTTGTTCCCTGTCATCGTGACCTCCCATCCATGAGGTGCTGTTAGTGCTCCATCTTGAATGTTTGTGGCACAAGAATCTTTCAGTTGCCCAGTGACAGCAGAAGAATGCATCTTCAAAAGCTTAATTTTGGGTTTATAAAGGGATAAGTGATGTTTATTTGCCTTTGTTGCTTTCATGGTGTGCGGTAGAAAGTGCGGTTTAATCTTCTATATTTTAGTGTTGCCATAAGGTACAAGGTTTTTCTTTCATGAGGAGAAAAAATACTGTAAAACCTGATGATTACTTAAAAAGTTGTATTCACAGATCCAAGTTAAAAAAGCAGATGTGAATGAAGGTGTTCTGAAGGAATAGTTTTGTCATATGATGTTATCAGTGTTAGGCCTTGATTTGAGTACCTTCTGTTGCAACAGTATTCAAACACTAAAACGTGAAGGACAACTCGCATATTACAGAGGAAGAACCTGCTAATTTCTATTAATTTTCTTACAGATTTGTTTTACAGACATACAGTACAGTGTTGTATGCTTTTGTAGTCTTATCAGGTGTTATGATACTTGAACAGGTATTTGAAGCTGTGTTAGTATCCAGATAACTTAAAATATGTGTAAAACTTGCTCTCCTAATTGCTCTTAATTAAGTCAGTGAAGAACTTTTACTGTTTGAGTAAACACATATCTCATATTCAACAAGGAGGTTATGAAACAAATATATAGAGCAAGTGAGCTTTAAAACGAACAAACAAAAAGGCATTTTAAGGAGTTGCATTTTAGCAGATACCTACAGGTGGCCCAAGGGTAACTGTAGAATGTTCTCTGTCAGTTTAACAGGGAAAATAATGCTGTCTTAAAAGTTCTGTGTGAAGAAGTTTTGCGTTGGAAGGTTTGGGTAGTGGGGGACCTACAGGGGTAGTTTCTGTGAGAAGGTGCTAGAAGCTTCCCCTGGGTCTGATAGAGCCAATGCCAGCTGGATCCAAGATGGACTTGCCACTTTCTGAGGCTGAGCCCACAGCTGACAGTGGTAGTGCCTTTGGGATAAGGTTTCTAAGAAAGGAGAAAAGATGCTGCTCAACCGTAAAATATACTTCTTTGTCATTGATAAATCAGTTAATGTAACTTAACAAAAGCAGTTTATTTTGGGTATTTACTAGAAGTAACCAGAAAACATTCTTATATGGGGCACTGCAAACTTCTGTGAAGTTCCAAGAGTAAGTGCCAGAATTATCACTGGGGAATCTGATCCATTCTGAAACAGCAGCAGAACATACATTTCCCCATCCTTTACTACACAGAACATTTATATGAAGAATTAAAAAGGTTATGTATTCTGTTACTATGTTTCTAACAAGTAAATCAATATCATACAAATGTTACTTCTGTTGGCTTTCAACTGCTAATGTTTTTATTGTTCTACTGAGCTTTGCAAGGAATGCACGTGTCTTTCTTGCAGGTGCATTTGCAGAACTTAAGACATTGACTGCAGAGGGCGGTACAGTACTTGCAAATTGCTTGTAAATTCACTTGATACCCGTATTTCATCTTTGGAGGAAAACCTTGGTTTATTCAGTAATTCACTTCTATGAAGATGGTATGGAATTAAGTTGTCTTTCTGCCAGTGATGTTCTGTGAAGCAGATGCTCAAGAAAGGACAACTGCTTTATCTTTTCAATCCTGTTCAACAAAGAAAACGAGGGGCACCTATACTGCAATTATGTAAGCTAGGACACATGTAAAACACAATGGGTCAGGACAAAGCACATCTCTGCAAAAGGGTGTTTCAACAAGGTGCTGTGATGATCTCTTTTTGATAAAGAAAAATAGGAAATGGATAAGTGCAATATTGCTGCAGAATCTTACTCTCATGAACACTGTCAGTAGCATGGGTTAGTTAGCTGAACGGTAACTAAAGTATTAATGTTTTCTCTTTCCAAAGGAGGATATATATGTATATATTTAGAACTCTTGCCTTTTGCTGATTTCCAAGTGGAGATCCAAAGATGGTATAAATTGCTGCATGTAGAACAGGTTATCTGTTGCATTTCTATACAGTTTCATTGGAGAATTTTGAACATGCTTACACTGGGAAGGGAATGACAGGCAATCTGAATAGAGCTTCCCATTACAAGTGGTAATACTTTTGTGGTCTGTTGGTTTCTATGCAAACAACTATTGAATTGGGAAGCCCAGATTCATGTCCCATGTGTGTCTTCCTGAAGAATGCCTTCATCACCAGACCAGTAATTAGCACCTGTAACTACTGAGATCAAGCCACTCTTTAGCTGGCAAGGCAACTTTAACTGAAACCCCACCTGTACAGTAGAGTCAGAGGCTATTGCTTTCTGTGTGAAGCTTGTTCTGGCAAGTGGCTGGCACGTAAGAGGAAGGCATGATTAGTAGATACTTACTTGATTTGGTGTGGCATAGGTCTCAGACTGCATATTATGCCTGAGCATATAAAGATGGTTGCTAGCTTTTTCTTCATGCTATGTCTATGAATTGAATACTTAAGGCTTGCCTTGACTGCTTCTAAAAGATTTTAAGAGGAAAGGTACTTGAAAAGCACAGGTTCTGTCTTGTTACATTTGTTAATTCTCATGGAAAGACTGTTAACTACATAACGACTTCTTATATATTTTTTTTTCTGTTCAGATACTGGTGACATTCATTTCTCTTGCAGTTCTGAAAAAGCCACATTGTTTTTTCTCCCCCCCCCCCCCTTTCTTTAACCTAGAGAGGATCCAAATGTAGTTCTGCATCACTTTCAGCATACAGTTTTCCATTTGATTGAAGTTCTTCTTTTCATGTCATTGCTAATAGCAATTTCCTACTAAATATTTTATTGCTTGTATGCATAAAGGCAAATATTCTGTGACTCTTACATGTTTATTGTGCAGAGAGGGATTATAGAATCATAGAATCAACTAGGTTGGAAAAGACTGTGAAGATCATCAAGTCTACCCATTACCCCAGGGCTGCAAACCCACCACTAAACCTTATCAATGGGGGCCTCACCTACACAATTTTTGAACACTCCCAGGGATGGTGATTCCACCCCTTTCCTGGCCAGCCTGTTCTAATGCTTTATCACCCTCTTGGTGAAGAAATTTTTCCTAATATCCAACCTAAACCTCCCCTAGTGCAGCTGTCTTTATTATACTATAATCGTCTATTATGAATAGATGCTCATACAAAATCTCTGTAAAATATGGCAGTGGCTGTTGGTAGTTACAAGGTTATCAGTGAGTCATTACTGCTGGTATGCTTCTTTCTTCTTCCATAAGGCTTGATTCTTTTTATCTTCTTCAGTTTATATGCTGAAGTCAGTGTATTCCTCAGGTGGTCATAGATTTTAGATTAGTGCTGGCAGTCTGAAATGCTTCTTTGTGAGCCAGTATTATTGGAAGGCTGAGAGACCGTCATCCTTCTGCAGGGGCTGATAGGAAGTGCATACGGTTCTCTGGAGAGAATAATAATAATTTCTGGAGAACCACTGCTAGCTTTACACTTACTGAAGTCAGTGAGAGTTTTGCTACTTACTTCAGTGAAAGTAAGGTTAGGTTCTTTGTAATTTCATTATCTTTTTTTTTGACATAGACCAGGTTATATGCTGTGAGACAAACTGATTTTAGTTCTGACTTATAGCGGAGAGCTGCTGTGGTTAAGGCTAAGCGTGAGTTTGCATCCTGAAGTGTGAATTCTGTGTTTTATGTCCTCTGAGTTCAGAAAATCACCTTGAGTTACAGGATAATGTTCAGTACATATATAACTATATAACTTTGCAGTGGCAGCAATGCTGATCTGGACCAGCAAAATTCCAAGGCGGTAAAAAATTTTACATGCCCTGATAATCCGAGTGCTAAAGCTATATTTTAAACAAAGCTTTTGTTCAAACTGTGTTATTAGAGTGACATGGTGAAGATTTTTATCAGGAGAATTGCAGGAAATTGAAGTTGATATTTTTTTCAGATACTGGAATGTAATGTCTTTATGATGATGATTTCTGTCACTGAAGGTGATAGTATTTCTCTGGTTTTGGACACTGTGACTGACTTGAAATTGCAGTGAACACCATGATCGGTGGTTTCTGGTGCAGCTGTGCATCTTCTAAATACAGGCTGTGTTTAACTAGTATCAGCATAGGTTCTTTGTGGTGTTGGTCAGAACTATCAATCTCCTACAAGCCTGTTGCATCACAACTGCGGATTTCAGAAGCTATGTGCTGTGACACTTGATAGAGTGAAATAAAAAGCACTGATGATCCTGGTTAGCACGTTACAGCTGTGATACAGAGTTCATGTCAGCCTGTTTTGTCTCTGTGTAGGCTTCTGTTCCATGTTTTTGTCAACTGTTACACAAGAGAAATCTGTGTGGGGGATAGTGCCTTCTCTTTTCTCCTCTCACTACACATAATTGTGTGTTTCTGTACTATTTTCATTGAACCTGCTTCAGTGGTTCATGTTGAAGATCCCCAAATTTGTTGCTCAGAGCTGTATGGATCTTGATGACTGTAATGTTCCAACTGTGGGAAAAACAGCAATAGTTTAGAATCTTTGATTGCGGCAATAGTGATACCGCTAGTGGTGGTAGTGTGGTGGAATGAGCTTCAAATGCCCTCCTTTTCCTGGCTTGTTACAGTCTTGGTAAATCTTACAGGCTTGTGGGTTGTGGGTTTATTTATTTATTTATTTATTTATTTTTATTTACAGTGGTTCTAAAGTGCTCCTTTCTTGAAAGATAAGGGGTTAAAGGGAGGAGAGTTTTTGTTCAATGTAAAAATTCTTTTGGATTTTATTTCTGTTATTATTAAGTGACAGTTAAAATGGAGCAAAGACTGTCATTAATAAAAGGGAGGTTCAATTTTCACTTTAAAGATCTGTAGCCTATATTGCATTTCTGAGTGATACAACAACCTTTTATATTTACTAGATGCTTCATTCAATTTGCAATGATTAAATGTAATGGTATTATTCCTATACGGAGCTGAGCAAACTGTATTTCTCCATGAAGCGTCAGTCCTGTAACTTCACATATTTACTACCTAAATGAGGACATTCCTAATGGCCCTCTATCACAAACTTCATATTCCATGAAGAATACCTTCATCTTCAGAGAGTGGAGTGACAAGAGGTGGTCCTATTTCTTGCTGTATGTCATCTGGCTCATCTGCTTTCTCCTCCTCCTCTTCTTCTACTTCTTCTTCCTCTGATTTTTGAAAAGGATTAAGCCAAACACAGCGACCCTATAATTGATATGGAAAAATAATAAATACATATATCAATCACTCAAAGAATGCAAAACAGTTAAAACAATTGGCTCAGACACAGGCACTCAGTTGAGGGAGAGGGAGAAGAAATACATATATTCTAACACTGGTATATTGTTAGCAGAATATTGTATCCTCTTGGCAGAGAGTTCCCTATATCTCTCATTCCTCCCTCATTCATGTTCACTATTCCAGAATGACCTTATACCTGTCATCAGTTTTTGCTGTTTTCTGATCTTCAGTTTCTTGCCCGTTTGGTTTATATCCTGCTACATTACCAGTTATTGCAAACTAAGAGGCTTACCTTAAGGACTTTTACACTTCTTTTTAAAGTTTGCCTTGTTATCTAGCTACCAGTCAGAGGATCATAACAAAATTTTATCTTAAGATTATAATGCATGTATTTATTTTTTCTTTTACAACTATTGTTTTTCTGGTAATAATTTTAAACCTTCTTTCCTACTATTTGCTGTTATTTCACACTAGCATTCTTGAATTGGTAGACTGGCCAGCAATTTACCTAGCAATGGTAATCAAATTAGTAATACCTCTTTCCAGCACTAGCCTGGTATCAACAAGCTTTTAAGCTTTTTCATTTGCATGTTTTACAGCAGAAAGTAAGCAATGAAAAATAAGCCAAAAGAAAACATCAAATAAGTTCCATTTATCATACAGTCATAAACTACCTGCATTTTAGCATCCTACCCAAGAAAAGAGAATTTAAAACATTTTTGTCAAGTAAAGACTTCAGAAGAGAAAACCTAATATAGATCACCAGAAATTACTGTTATCTATCAAGGCTTAATTCCATACTGTTATCTAAAGGTAGGTTTTGATCCCAAGAACACACCTAGAAGGTTCCTACGTATATATGCATAAAAATATATGCTAAATGTAAATAGGTGCAACATGTTATATACTACATCAAAGGTATATTCTTTAAAAAAATATTTTAGGCCAATACCATTTCTGGTGAATAGTTCAAACGTGCAGGTGAGGAGTGTGTTTACATTCTGAAACCCTATGAGCACCACAGTGTGAATGAGCTATTCCTGAACGTACCTGCATTAGAATACTCTGTACATGGTGTACCCAGCTGGAGAGAGAATCCACCATTTCAGGCACAGGGATAGGCTGGTAATCAGGGTTTTCTTCATATGTATCTCTTCCTCCTTCCTCCTCTTCGTCTCCTTCCTCCTCCGAAAAGTGGTAAAATCCAATTGGAGAGATCTGGGTTCCTGCTGAGATCCGAGCTATCTGTGCTCGCAGGTAATTGGCCTCATTTCCAGGGAAAGGAGGAAAGCTCACAATGGGAGCATCCAGCCTACCGGTGAAGAACTTCTTGATTTTCCTGGCACAGACAATCTGGGCTGGTGTCACTGGAGGCAACTTCACCCAGGGATTACCTGGCTCATTACAGACAAAGTAGACATATTTATTAGCCCCAGTTCCACTTTCTTCTTTTGGGATGGTAGGTGGGGGCTTATACGTGGACTTTGGTGGTTCGTCTTTTTCCTCCTCTTCATCTTCGAACTCAGTCATACCTTTCCCTTCTTCCTCAATAGCTTCTTCCTCTTCTGTTTCCTCCTCTTCTGCCCCCTCACCGTACTGTACTTCAGCTATAATATAGTTCATCTCCAGACCCAAAATTTTGCCCCAGAAGCGACAGATCTGGGGCACTGGCTGAACACTAATTAGTTTTTTAAGGGCAAGGAATATGTGATAGGATTCATCTTTGCTCAAGCCTATTCCAGCCTGTTCAAAATAAAAGGCTGTTTCCATTACATTAGGTAGACTGGTGTCTCCCTGGGAAAGAAGATACGGAGTTAGAGCTGAAGAATAGTATAATTATCTATTTGAAAAATCAACGGTTTGTCCACTGAATGTTACACTTTCCTGTAGTGCCACTTACTCTCTCAAGGTGCTTCACAGACATTCATTCACTACATTTTCCACTGTAATTAAAAAAAACAAACAAACCTGAAATGCCGTTTTAAAGGTAAAAAAGAGAACACAGATGAGCTTCAGCTTTTAGAATACAAGATTTAAAATTTCAAATTGCTGCAAAATAAGAATTCTTATGCAGGATCTGCAAGGGACTTCAGTGCTGCGGCGTTTCAGCTATGTAAGAGGCCTTGATGCCTGCAAGCATCGTTACTGTTTTTCCTTGTGTTTGTCGCAGATTCATTTGGGGAAAATAGAATACATATTTTCTATATTTAGACACCAGACGAGCAATATTTCTCTGGAGTGAATGTTGTTCTTTTGAAAACCTTGACATATGGTTTTCATTGTTTAAAATATTGGCCTCTGCTCGCTCCTACTAAGGCCCGTTATAAGACTCCAGCTGTCTTCAGTAGAAGCAAAACTAGGCCAAGAATGATTTCATTATTTCCATTCACTTTCTCACTCTTATTTCATGTGGGTAGGTGATTGTATCACACAAAGGTAGTAGAAGTTTTTCACTAGAACAACTGGAAAAAGTAGAAGTCTTCAAATTTGGAAGAAGTAAAGTTAGCTTCGTATTGAATTTCTTGAGCCTTTCCAGGTTTCTTACACCAAGGCAAGATAGACCAGAGTATGAAAAATCCAAAATTCCTTTCTGAAATGCTCTACATGTTCCATTTTTACCATTGTATAAGCTTACTGTAATAAGTAATAGGCTACAGAAAAGATGAAAGACTGTCTCTGCTGTTGATAATAGTTGTATTCTGCAATGGCAGAAGTCATTTGAATATATACTGGTAACTTCACGTGAAAATCAACATTTAGTTGATTAGTTTCCCTTGTTTTTTTAAGAATTTTTTTTTGTTGGTATACAAATGCTTCTGCATATAAACAACTGCATACTGAAAAATCCCCTGTTGTAAGAAGCGGCTCTTCATTTCTAGTAGTTCTTCGTTCTAACATGTGATTTTTTTTTTATTTTTTTTTTTTTTAGTTGGAGAAGGACAGACTGGAATCACAGCTGGAGCTGGAAGGATCACAAAATTCTCCATTCTCTATTTTACAGTCGCAGCTGTGCACAATATTCTCCAACTGGAGTACCAGAATTATGGTCACTTGAGGTAAAGAAATTAGATGCAATATTCCATGCTGAACTGGCATGTGAGAGATATTTTAAACTTTACTTTCTGTTCATCCTCTCTAGAACCTCTATGGTTTTAAAGGTTCAGGGTATTAGACTTACTACAGGAAAAAGACCCAACTAAGTAACCAGATGGGTTTTCTTCTTCACACTGGCCTGGCCCAGCAGGGTACGCGCCGAGCCTGGGGCACGCCAACAGCCTCTCGGCCGCGGTCAGCTGTACTTGTCGCGTGCTGCCCGCGGGGCGGGGGGGTGGAGCGGAGGGGGGCGGGGCGGAGCGGAGCGGGGCGGGGCGGAGCGGGGCGGAGCGTCGCTAAGGTAAACGGCCGCGGCTGTTTAGGCCGTTGCTCAGGAGTTTCCCGTCGGAGCTGGCAGTTTCCTCCTCGTTTCTCCGTGCGTTCGGAGCGCCTCCTGTCGTCCGCTGTTAGCCGGTAGGCCCGGTGGTGGTAACTTTTTGTCGCCGCACGCTGAGGCACAGCAGTTGTTGGGGGAACGAGCGTATTTCTGAAGGGGGGTCACCGACCCATCTTTCCCTAGCGCCGGGCGGGAGGCCAGAGGCTCCCCGCAGGGCCTGTCGCTGTGGGGACCTGCCCTCAGGGCCTGGGGGCTCTCCTGCGGGCTCGCTTTTCCCAGCCCACAGCCCTAGCCGTTAAAGCTGTTTGTAGAGGAGTTTTCAAGCCCTGCTTGTTCCCTGTCATCGTGACCTCCCATCCATGAGGTGCTGTTAGTGCTCCATCTTGAATGTTTGTGGCACAAGAATCTTTCAGTTGCTCAGTGACAGCAGAAGAATGAATCTTCAAAAGCTTAATTTTGGGTTTATAAAGGGATAAGTGATGTTAATTTGCCTTTGTTGCTTCCATGGTGTGCAGTAGAAAGTGCAGTTTAATCTTCTATATTTTAGTGTTGCCATAAGGTACAAGGTTTTTCTTTCATGAGGAGAAAAAATACTGTAAAACCTGATAATTACTTAAAAAGTTGTATTCACAGATCCAAGTTAAAAAAGCAGATGTGAATGAAGGTGTTCTGAAGGAATAGTTTTGTCATATGATGTTATCAGTGTTAGGCCTTGATTTGAGTACCTTCTGTTGCAACAGTATTCAAAGACTAAAACGTGAAGGACAACTCACATATTACAGAGGAAGAACCTGCTAATTTCTATTAATTTTCTTACAGATTTGTTTAATAGACATACAGTACAGTGTTGTATGCTTTTGTAGTCTTATCAGGTGTTATGATACTTGAACAGGTATTTGAAGCTGTGTTAGTATCCAGAGAACTTAAAATATGTGTAAAATTTGCTCTCCTAATTGCTCTTAATTAAGTCAGTGAGGAACTTTTACTGTTTGAGTAAACACATATCTCATATTCAACAAGGAGGTTATGAAACAAATATATAGAGCAAGTGAGCTTTAAAACGAACAAAGAAAAAGGCATTTTAAGGAGTTGCATTTTAGCAGATACCTACAGGTGGCCCAAGGGTGTTGGTGGCCCAACAGGAAAAAAAATATCCAGCTTAATATGCTTACTCCTGTGGGATTTCCACTCTCTTTGAGAACTCATGGTAATTTGTATTTTTCGTTGAGATTTTATAAACACTATTCAGTGTTGCACTATATGGCTTTGCTGCTTTGGAACGAGCATCAAAAACTTGGGTGAATAGGTTTAGTTTGTTCATTACTGATATTCAAAAGACTATCATGGCTTTGGAATTCTGAGCTAACGAACAGGTTTAATTATGTATCATTTGACTTTGGATTTGCTTCCCTGAGCATAAGGACACACCTTGTTAACATTCTTCTGGCTATGGATATTAAAATATAATCCAGTTGGTTTCGTTACTAGGTCTGTGAATTTAGTACCTATTATGAAAGAGGAACTTCCTCAGCCTAAAGTCTTGGAATAGCTCTGGCTCCAAACTTCCTTTAGTACATAATCCAGTTTTTGACCTTAATTTAAATGATATATAGGCCTTGTATTGATCTCTGATGATTAATTCAGCAATTCTTAATCAATTGTTTGCTCTGCATATTTATTCAGTAATTTTGTGATCAAAAAGTTACCTTTGAATGAAGATGGTAATAAAACTGCTAGCTTACTGTGAGATTGCCTTAAAAAAAAACCACAAACCCAGATCCAGTTTATGTTGCCTTTCTCTTCATATGCTTAACACTAAAGTGCAACAAAAATGGGGAGGAAAAAAAAGGTTTTTAAATGAAATTATTAATTTTTTGAGTTTTAAATCTCTTAAGATTAAAATTCTTACAAGGTTTTAATCTGTACTATGAAAACACAGAAATCCAAATATAATGGGAATCAAGAAACAGTAATGATGAAAGTTGCCAGGTATCTAAAAATGCAGATGTTTGTGTTACTTCTCAGAAACCATGTATTTCCTGAAATTCTGGATCTCTTCCAGAAGTTTCATTTCTTCCCTAAATCTTATCTGATCTTATCTGTTCTCTTTTTCAGTTGTGATGATAGGGTTTTTTTTTTTTTTGTTTTGTTTTGTTTTTTTTAACCTGTCACTGTAGACATAGGTGTATCCTGCATAAGCAGCTGATAAACTGTTCATTTCCTCTAAGTATGTGCTATAAACTCATTTACCTATCATTTATCTTTTGTTCCAGCTCTTTTCCTGAAAATGGATCTTGCTTTTCAATGACTTTGAGAATTCATAACTTAGAATCTATGAGCTCTGAATAAATTAACTCATTCACCTGGTGTGGTTGGGAAGAGGAATGAAAGATTATTAATGAATTTCCTGCTAGGGAGAACTAAGTTATTGAGTCTTATCTTTCTCTTCTCCTCTTGTTATAAATGCAATAAGGTCACAAATTAGCTTTGCCCTTGTTTGAGATTTTTAGTGTTTTGATGCTGTGCTAACAGAAAAGTCATTTTGATAGCTTGCCAGTTTTCATTCTAGTTTAATTTTACAGAAGTTACTGTCTGAATTATGAGACAAAGAGAAATTTTTTAGCAAAAAAACCCCAACCCACTTCTGAATGTGTCACTGTTTGAAGATACTGTGTTTAAGTGAACTCCATTTGTAACTGTAAAGAGTTTTTTTTTTTTTTTTTTTTTACATTGGACAAAGATGGTGAGAGGAACAGATGTAGTCGTTATACTGACTTTCTAAATGGATAAAATTGTAATTATAAGGCTATTCTTGACTGGGTTTAATCGGAACAGTTCTTCTGCAGTCTGTGAAACTACATGCTTTTGATAGCTGAAAATCTCTCTTGTGGTGTTTGCTTCTTGATATTTCTTGATGCTGTCTTGCTATCTTTTCCCCTTCCAACTTCCTCTACCTGTTTTAATTCCAAAATGAAGGAACAAGAGTTTGGAGATGAGGAGATAGAATTAAAGTGTGAAGCTGATGGATGTTTTTGCTAATCAACAAGTTGATTATCTTTCAGGAAAGGCAGACAGATTTGGCTAATAATATGCTCAAATACAGAAAAACACCATGCCTCAAATTCAACAATTAAAGGTGATAATAATTTCACTTGTGGAGGTACCACTCGTGAAAGAGGTTGGAGGTGCAGTGGCAGTAGCTCTGTTCCTAAAATGGATTTCCTGAATCAGAGCTTTCTGGATAAACAACAGCTACAAGAGAGATTTTCCTGGTAGGCTTGTGAGGTCTGGCCCAGGAAGATGTAGAGTCATTTAAAAGGCAAAATCATGGTGAGTTTAAAACATTGAAAAAGACCTAGTCTAGCTTTGTCATTTCACATTCATACTCTTTAAGCTGGCTAGATTCCTTTTGGCCCTGAGATTCAAGGAAAGGACAATGTATACAGGAAGCAAAATTTGTAGAAAACATTTTGTGTAGATAGATGCAATGTATTTTCAGAAGTGTGAATTTTGTCTAGTCATTCATTCGCTTCTGTATACAGGCAGTGAAGTGAAGTAATAAGGGTTTAGAAGCAGTCGTTCAGTGATGGGAGAATATAATTTACCTGTCAGAAATAATAAAGGGTCCACCATACCTGGCTTATATTATTCAAGCACCAAAATCTGTTCAATCAGTAGGTACACAAGTATAAAACAGTTAAAGGGAAACATTAGTTTTCTTACAGTTATTTCATGCATTTTATCTGAAATGTTTAAACTTTGCTGTTCAAACAGTACCTCATCTTGTCTTTAAATGCCACAACTACTTTTTCTCCATTATTTTATGTATCCTAATGTAAACATCCATTAACCTCCCTTCTGCCTCAATTAAATATGTTTAACAAGTAATCAGTCTGAATTAACAACAGGAGACTTTGTGCCATTCATCTGTTTTTAACAGATGTGTTCAGATAATTTTGTGAATATCTTTGACAATAAAGGGAATCTGGTGTGATTCACCAGTTTCCTGGGAGAAGACTTGGGGCACACATCAGCTTAATTAAACATTGTTATTTTAAGCCTCTGACACTTGTGATGAAGTTAAATAATAGGTCATTACTTTCTGTTTATCAAATGCTTGTGCATATGAAACTTTTTAATTTCATCTGTAAGAAGAGCCTTTTAAATTCTTTCTTGAAGTATTTTTCTGCTAATGGCTTTGGGGGATAGAGTGAAAAATAATTTATTAAACACATAGTAAATAATTTGTATGACTCCCAAAATTCAAGCAGCGCAAATCAGCTTCTCTGAAGTATTTAATTTTCGATTAATATACTCAACAAAAAATACAACAGGGATTAGTTAAATGAGTGAATGCTGGGCTTGCTATGAGTTGTATAGCAGCCTTTTTTTTTTAGTTTTCATATACTCTTTTAATTAAGTCTGGATTTTTAGCCATTTAGAATGTTTGCCCATACTGCCCACCCATAACTTCACTGTATTCAGTGTTCTGTGTTTCTCTGACGCTGGGCTCTGCTTATTTACTTTATGTGAATGTGTATTTAGGGTAGCAAAGCTTGATCTTTATTTACATGGAAGATTTGAATCCCTAAGCATGGTGAATTTCTGTAGAAGATTAAAAGTAGTTCTTGATTTAAAAATGTGGCTGAATGAGTTTTGTAACTTAAAAACAAGTCTAAATGCATGTTTGTAGCTTTGTCCTTCACCCAGCTTGTAAATAATGTACACCAGTGGCAGCATTTGCTTACTGTCTGGTTGGATGTCACAAATGTTGATGCTATAAAAGCCTCAGTAGTGGACAGTTGAATCAACCTCATAGAAAGAGTAGATAAGATTTTCTCAAATGACTTGATAGTTACATATTTATAGCATGTAAATTATTGACATAGCATCCTGGGGAGGAGGAAGGGAAGAAAAAAGTATCCACAATTTCCTAATCACTAGCAAACTAGGATCTCTTTTTTGCTGGACCTTAGGTGGGAATATAAAAAAACCCTTGGTAAGTAACATGACTATCATCCAGTCTCAGCCCTCTGTCCCCCACCTCCACCAAACTCTGAAAAGGAATGTTTTGTTTTCCAGGATGAGTCTCCTGAAGAGACCCAGTGGTTAAGGAAGATACCAAATGAGTTTTCTCAGTAGAACAGTAAAATGTTGAATAATGTAGATGTGCTTTTATATCCCACCAGCTTTTAGGCTCTGTACTTGACAAATTATCTTGCATAAAGCTGGTAGGATGTTTGATCAAATCTGCAAATTTAGATACGCAATTTATCAAAAGAGCACATACAAACCCAACAGGTCCTTTTTGTCTGTAGGCTAGAGCCTTGTTAATTTGTCAGTA